TTTCTGTCCAGGTGAACCAAAGGATCAGACAAGGAATGAGGAAGCCCACGTGTCTAAGGTGTGTGCTCTGTGAGAAAAAACTCAGGAGCTCAAAAAAACTGTATGTGGTGGGTAGGGATATATGAGTCCAAGTGGCAAAATGCTCCCACACTCTCCTCACAATCTCACTCTCTAGAAAAAGGTGGGTAAAGGTCTCAGTCTCATGGCGTCCAGTCTCAGAACAACACACACACCGAGAGGGGAAGGAGATCCCTCTCGCGTGTAGCACAGTATCGACAGGTATCCGGCGCAAGAGGAGGCGCCAAAGGAACACCGAAATAATAGGCGTGAAAAGGTCACTCCAAATAGCCCCGAAGAGGAGATTAGGCCGATCCCTCAGCCTTATCTGCACCCAAGCCGAGATAGTAGAAAACACACCTGAAGATGTAAGTCTCCACCTCATGCTATCTGAACCGTCCCCCGAGATAGGGATCTGCTGGATTTGATCTAATAACTGCTCGCTAAAACCCGCACCAGCCCCCAACTCCCTATCAAGCTTTCCCCTATCCCACGACCCGTCCGTCCAGAGGTCGTTCACGAGCAGGTAGGGAGAATGCGACACCTGCCTATCCCTAGACAACGGCCTATCACCTACCCACCACTCATCCCAGACACTGACATCGCCCCCGCCCAAAACCCAAAAGATGTGATCCTGGGCTCGCCTCCCGACCCTAGTGAGGCGCCGCCACTGTCTACTATCATGATCAACAGCCGTGACCCAACAAGGGTGGTTGGCACGTCTAGGGCAGTACTTGCCGCGAAGGTACTGAGCCCAAAGCGACTTTCCTTCCCTGAAGCGCCACCACAGCTTGTATGAGAAAGCTGTAACAATGTCCCTGAGGCGGCGGATGTCAAGGCCACCCTCGGAAAGGGGGCGGCAGATAGAGTCCCAACTCACCCAGTGAGTACGTCTCCCCCTCCTAGACCCGTCCTCATAACCCCAAAAATAACGAGCCATAATCTGGTCAAGCTCATCAAGAGTAGACCTAGGGGGGTCGAGGACCATAAGCAAGTAAATCGGAAGCGAGCTAAGAGTGCTCTTGATCAGCGCTAGCCGACCACCGAAAGAAAGATATCTATGCGACCAACCAGAGATCCTGTCGATCATCCTCTGCCTGACGCCCGCAAGGAGCGCTCTCGTGAGGTTGCCCTTATATAAAGGGACCCCGAGGTAGGTAATGGGAAGGTCGTCACGCGCAAAGCCAGTAATGTCGTGGACCTGCTGAGCCCACCTGTCCACGGTGGTAGATGAAAGGATGAAGGTGCTCTTCTGCACACTGACCAGCTGACCGGTGACCAAGCCATAGTGCTCCAAAAGGCGCATAAGCTCGACCAGTCCATCATCATCCGCCTGGGTGAAGATAATGATGTAGTCCGCATAAGAGAGGTGAGAGATGGTAGGACCATAGCCACGGGTGCTATAGGTCATATGAGGAGAATCGCGGATGAAGCCGTCAAGGCAGCGAGAGAGGTAGTCCGCCGCAAGAACGAAGAGGGAAGGGGATAGGGGATCCCCCTGTCTAAAGCTTCTAGAGGAGGGAAAAAAATCGGTGGGGCTGCCATTAACCAGGACCGAGAACGTGCAATGCTCCACACACGCCTCCACAAAGCTGATCCAACGCTCAGGAATCCCATCCTAGCCAATGCCTCCCTAAGAAACGGCCACTCAACTCTATCATACGCCTTAGCCATATCTAGCTTCAGCGCGATATTCGGAGCCCGCTTCCAGTCCGCTCGGGAGATGTTGTGGATCATCTCCTGGGCCAGAAGGATGTTATCACTAATGACCCGATCCTTGACGAATCCACTCTGGTTCGGAGAGATGAGGGAGGGGAGAAGAGGGGAAAGTCGACCGTTAAGAATCTTCGAAATGAGCTTGTTGGTCACGTTACACAGGCTGATGGACCTGTAATCGGACCAAGAGCTCGGGTTGGATCGTTTGGGGATCAAGACGACAGAGGTAGACGTGAAGGAATTCAGCATCCGGTGGTCGAAGAAAAAATCCAACATCGCCTCCTCGACGTCAGTCTCGACAAGATCCCAGCATACCTGATAGAAGAGGGAGGAGAAACCATCCGGGCCAGAAACACTGTTGGGATCAATCCCGAATACAGCATCCCTAACCTCCTCCCTACTCGGGAGCTCACAGAGGCCAATGAGATCGACCGAAGGAGGGATGGTGGGGAAAAAAGAAGCGGTCGGAGCTACGAGGGAACCTCTGTCAGAGGTGAAGAGGGTCTGGAAGTGAGCAACAGCCGACTCCCGAATCTGAGCCTCCTGGGTCAAGGATGACCCATCAGCCTCGATACTATGGATGTACGACTTAGCACGCTTCTGCCTAACGTAGCCCTGGAAGAACCTAGTGTTCCGGTCGCCCTCGGCCACCCAGCGAACGGCCGCCTTCTGCTTCCAGAAGTCCTCCTCCATAAGGAGTCGGAGTTGGTACTCGGCGTGGCAGCGGTGCATGGCAGTCCTATTCTCCGGAGTGGGATCCAGGTCATAGGCCCGCTCAGCCGTCGCATGCGCACTCTGAGCCGCAGCAAGGCGCTGATGAAGGTTTCCAAAAATATCCCAGTTCCACTGTCTCAACCGACGCCGCAGTCTGCCGAGCTTCGCCTCGAGATTGCGCATCCCGAAGAGCCCAGTCGGCTGAAGCTAGGAATCCCTGACAGTGTCGTGGAAGGAGTGGTGGCGAACCCACATGTTTTGGAACCTAAACGAAGAGCGGCGGCGGGTGCTCGAAAATCGGCACCGGTGAGAAGGGGTGAATGGTCGGACCTAAATCGAGTAAGGTGTGTGACGGTCATAACCGCAAACACCTTCGACCACGCCTCAGAAACTAAGGCACGATCTAACCTCTCTTTGAGTCCGTCCCTCACCCACATGAAGGGCTCACCATCACATCCAGCGTCAATTAACTCGCAGTCCGCCACCGCTTGAGCAAAATCCCACATCTCCCGTGACCAGTCCGTGCGGCCACCCACAAGCTCATCGGGATGCAGAAAGATGTTGAAATCGCCACTAACCATCCATGGCAATCCCTCCATACTCTCGGCAATCTCACGCAGGGAGTCCCAAAGGTCATATCGCCCGACCCTAGTCCACTTGACATAAACCAAGGTGTGAAAGATGGGCTCCGGGAGGTGGCCAGCGGAAATCTCAACGTGAAGCACCTGATCGGTGTCGCGGAGGACCCGACAAGTGTAGTCACGCGAGTGGAAAAACCAGATCTTGTGCGAAATATTACTCACGCCCGAGTGGAAGCCCAGGCGACGCGAGTAGTAGTCAAGAGAAGGAGTGCGAATCATCGGCTCAATAAAGCCAACAAAATCGACTCTGTGGTCACGAATGAGAGAATGAAGGTGAGAGAGAGTAGCCCTGTTCGCCAGGCCACGGCCATTCCAAGTAATGGATGTGATGGACATATCAACGGTCGCAATAGCCACCGGACGTAGTCCGTCTATGGCGAGGCTGATTCGGGCCACCTAAAGAAGGGGAGATCGTCCGTCGTGTCGTGCGGCAGAAGGGTCCAAAAGCAGGGGAGATCGTCCACCGTCTCATGTGCTACGTGGCTCTGGTCCTCGAGGTCTGTCTCCCTCGGTATGTACTCGTGGCCTGTGAGTCGTCTGGCTGGACAGACTGACCTATAGCAGCACTAGCGGGTTGCCCCATCTCCGGTGATGT